AAGGTAGAAACACTCAAGGGGAGAGGACATTGAGAAGCTAGGAACACAGTGCGATTGAGTGGTGATGTTAGACAAGTCTTGGTGGTTACACAGCATTTGCATGGATTTTGTTCTGACTTTTTTTTGGTGGGGGCGGGGGAGAGGAAAGGGTAAAAAAGTAAAGGTTTTCAGTCACCTAGTTCAGCTGTTTTCAGCCTGTGGCCCCTGGACCACTGGTGGTCTGCAGAGAAGTGGCTGGGCACATGGTGCTGGCTCTCCTCCTATCAGGAGGCCTGTAGAAGCAGCTGTAATCAAGAAGAAGGAGGCAGCTTTGATGCAGCTAGTAGTAACTACTCTACGACAGGAAACCAAAGCAGTCCCCAGGGACTAGTGAAACTGAAGTTGCCTGCAGGAGTAGAACGCTTGGAGACACGGGCCATGCAGTATATCCAGGAGTGGAGGAAGACAAAGAGATTGATGCCTGGACAGCACGTGCAGGGGAGAAGGGGACCAGGCAAAGGAAGACAGGAAGGGGGTGCATGCACAAAGAAGAAAGGGAGGAAAATAATAGATGGGAGGGGAAGATGAAATTAAGAGTAAAACTGACAGTGGGATTAACTTTTTCAAACAAGACAAACACTTATCACATTAAATACACCCAAAATAAACAGATCAGATTTGTAACATTACTATGCCATGTAAACAATTGCTAGTTACCTCTGGAATGTTATGTGATTACAAACGGATTCTGGAGACACTCTCTCTATTAAAATGTTGCCCATGCTGTGAAAAAGTTTGGGTACCATTGGCCTAACATTAAAAGATTTTCTATGGCATACACTCCTGTCAGGTATGAATTAACTAATCCACAAAACACTCCTGTAAGGTATGCAAATAGCTCATTTTACTGATGGGGAAACTCACACCACAGAGCAATTAATCTTCAACAGAATGCCTTCATTCTGCTCATGCAATGATTAGCTTTGGCACAAGTTAGTTGATTTTGGATTACGAGGATGTGCCAAACTTCATCTGAATCATTTAACCTTGGTCGGCTATATTTCTCCTGGGAAAGCTAACATTACAATATAATTTGAGAGTAGAAAAAAGAAGAGCTTCAACCTACTTAATGACAGGTTTCAGAGTAGCAGCCATGTTAGTCTGTATTCGCAAAAAGAAAAGGAGTACTTGTGGCACCTTAGGGACTAACAAATTTATTTGAGCATAAGCTTTCGTGAGCTACAGCTCACTTCATCGGAAGCATTCAGTGGAAAATACAGTGGGCTTATTTGAGCTTATGCTCAAATAAATTTGTTAGTCTCTAAGGTGCCACAAGTCCTCCTTTTCTTTCAACCTACTTAATCTAATTTAAAAACATTCATAAGACCCTTTACAGATTAAATTTTGTATTTTGAGACCATTATTTTGTACACTGGCATTGGAATAGAAAGAAAAGAGCATTTTAAATTACTCCTCGGTTAACGTGATAGCTCCAGTTTGTTAAATAAATATAACAAGGCTTCAGTGCAAGTGAGCAATGTAATGTTATGTTGAGAGCATTATGCAGAATAATCTAGAATTTAAAGCAGCACTCTTATAGTTAAGAGGCCGAAAATGTGTACATTTGACTTCATCTATCTGGTAGCAAACTTTTTTTTCCCCCTCTTTAAGCAATGCTTTATGTAAATGCTAAAAACCTACATTTTGCACCAAATGCTGAATCCATGGGCATGCGAAGCCTGTAATGCATCAGAACCGGTATCTAAATTTGGACCTATCCTACAATGGTTATAATTGACATGGAAATAGTTTCCAGATTTTAAATACATTTATTAATACTATCTCTCTGGTAGTGGTAAATTAGAATGAACCCAAACAATAGTTTACTGATTAGACAGGACCTACATTATATTGCTTTATCATCTACTTCCACCCCACTGGCTAGTCAGCAGAGAGAATATGAATTAATTAATAGTTCCAGTTCTAGCCATCATCAATAATACTGTGCCTTCCCAGACGAGAGCAACTCCCAGCATATTTTTAAAATGGCTTTTAAATAAAATGACAATAACAATGATTATTCTGAGTTAAAATGTTGCTGTTCTTAATTGATGTCTGCAAAGCATTTTAGAACATAAAATTACACAAATTACACAAATTCTAAGTAAGAACACTACTACACAGTAACAATATTGCAGTGACATCTATTTCTACCATGGGCTTCACACCAGGAATAAATATGATCACAGGTGGTAAGCTGATTACACTATTGTTAAAGCAGCATGTTTTGCTGGCTCCTCCCTCCTTGCATCTGGCCATGCCCTCTCCTGTAGTCTGCTGCCCTCTTTAGCCTGTTAAGTAGCACACAGGAGTTGCTTGTGGCTTTGCAGTGAAAGAGGATGCTACCATATAATGACCTTCCTCCCCCCACGCCCCCACCCCCATTGTCACACTTCTTCTCCCTACTGAGCTGGGGCCTATGTCTTTGCTTCGACAGACCAGGATTCAAATAAGGCTTTGATCAAACATGAAATGTTGTTCTCATTTTAGGCATAAAAGGATATTGGTGCAAAACCACTGCACAAAATGGTAAGAATGTAAATCTGTGCTCAGACTGTTTTTGACATTTGCTAGATAATGTAATCTCTAACTCTAGAATTCTGTGTCTAATAGCAGGGCTGGTGTGGTCAGACAGAGGGAGTTGGGTAGGAAAACATACAAAAAACTTCTGTTTGTATTATGCCTGGCTCTCACCAGTTATGTCAGGTCTTTAATTTAATTGTGAACTATAAAAGTTTGCCTTATGATTAATGTGAGAAGCCCATCAATAATTCCAGTTTTTTCCTTAGACTTTGCTGTATAGTGTGACATTTGGCTGGAGTGCTCCTGAGAAATTTGTCAAAATTGTGAGAGGTTTCATTTCCTGATTTTCAACCCAGATTGTAAACACTTCAGGCTAACTCCTGCACTACCAAACTCTTGACCTGAGTGGGATTGTGTGGAGGTAAAGGAGAGGCAGAACTGCACCCTTCTTATTTTCACATGCCTTGAGAAAAACATACTCTGAGTAGCTACTGTCAGTTAAGAGAAAACTAATGAACTCCCCTGAATTTGTGCACTTTAGTGAATACTTGAAAAAAAGCTTTGGGTGAGATCAATCTTGATCTCATACAAAGCAAGCACTCTGCAGTGCTCTGGTAAATGTTGTTGTTTGAAAAGCATAACAGTCAGACATCTAAAGCTGGCATTCTCCCCTTGGCTTTTCAAATACCATAGAGCAGCCTTTAAAGTGTTATTGAAGGCCTAAAGTGATGGCTAAACAAACTAGGCAGCTATCTACTCAAGGAGTGTAAATCTGTTATTCCTTATGTCTTTGCTTCTACAGACCTGGATTCAGAACATTACAGACAAAGCAGGAAATCACACAGAGGAAAATGCACTCGATTTCCATTTGGAGCAGTACAGAGACCTATCCTGTGTTCAAACTGAACCTTACTATGGACAAACCCCCAGAGCCACAGTCATCAGAGGTGTATCTCTTTTGGTAGAATTTGGCCCTCACTGTTTCCACAATTTAAACAGAAATATGGGAGGATGAAACCATATAGAAAATGCTGGCTCTGCTGTACATCCCGTAGCACACAGGCGGGAGAAATCTGTGTACTCCAGCTACTGAAGTCTAATCTGTGACTAAGAAACCTTTGGTGGCAGAAGGGGGAAGAGGTAATTTAAAAAAATAAGTCCATCCCATCCTCAGAAATGTACTGAAGGCTTTAACACAGAGTTTGGGTTTCTGTTGGGTTTGTTTTTTAAATCTCCGGGGTTATTGAATTCATGGGGCTTCTCTGGCTCAGAGTGCAGTGATCAGCAAAGCACCTCTGGACTCCCTGAGCACTAGGGGAGTCTTTTGCATTTCACAGCTGATGAGATGACTCCCAAAAGGTAACGACTTTATCCTGCCTTCATATTAACAAACCCCCCAAGAGATCTCATTTTACTGGATTGGGAACTGATCTGGGGTGAGGGGAGGGGTTGGTATTTGTGTAAGTCAACCACATGTGTGATTAAGTAATGAGCTTTTTGTGGCTGTTTCTCTCTGCAGGATCACTAAGAATTTCTGCTTACCATAGCATCCTGGCATTAACTGTGCTCTCCAAACACAATGGACAAAACTGTTATTCCACCTCATCCCCAAACTATCCTGCCTGACCAGATTAGTTTTTTTTCTGGAACACCAATTAAGAGTCTGGGGTCATGAACGCAGTGAGGTGGTGTTGGAACTTTCTCACCAACGCTTCTCAAGGGCAGGATGCTCACTTTATAATGGGGCTGCTCCTTTCATGTGCAAGAGCGTGAGACGGTATTTCATACTGCAGCTTTAAAGAAATCTGGAAAGGACTCTCCCTTGGCACACAGCAGTGCTACTTCCTAATTAGACAGAGGGTTTGCTATTGAGAAGTGAAAAGATTCCGCTCCCCCCGAGCACATACATTGCTTCCACAGCATATATACTGCTTCCCAGCTGCTTTAGGAAAAAAGAGAGGCACAGGGCATTACAATCCTGCATGGCAGCAGCACCGCCATCAGGCCAGACTCCTACTTCATTTGTTTTCTGTGTTTTTCCTAAGACAATGAAAGTCGTAAAGCATGTGCTGAAAGCCAACTAGCTCCAACCTCACCTATTGGTCTCTGCTTTCAGCACCTAATTCTTGGCCCCCTACCCTACAAAGGCAGCTGCACACTTACCTGTGGCTGTCTTGTCTCCAGCCCATTCCTGCTTTTAAACCAGGTCAGGCCCTGCCCCCTAACCTTTACTATCTAGCGAATGTTGACCGCCATTTTACTCTATAGCAGTAACCAGCTAGGATCTTCTCTAATAAGGACATCTAGTTATCTCTGAAACTTTTCTTTAATGCTTGTGAGATACAGTCCAGTACACACAGCTGGCACTCTACCGTAATGCATGTATTTCCAAACTAGTCTAGGGCCAAGTATCTGAGGAAGGGGGCATGCTTACTCACCACAAAGGATATATGCCAAGCCTACTAACGATGAAGACAACGGCAAACATAAGGAACAGGAGGTCACTCAGTTTTTGACACTTGCAATAGTTTGCCATTTTGGCAGCCTGCAAAAGAGGGACAAAGAGTGTTTACTCCAGTTATGATAACAACTGCAAAAGTCTTACACTGTGCATGAGCTGTGATGAGCAACTAAAATGCAAAGGAGACAAATTTTGATCAAATACATTGTTCTGCGATACAGTGACCTTGCTTCCTCTCTGTCCTGGTGTTGGTCAATTTCTTCAATAAGAAAATCCAGTAAGTGTTGCCTCTCACCTCTGCTCTTTTCCACCCAACTGTATCTCCCACATCATTCCAGTTTCAGACTCTCAGGTATCATTTGTAATCAAGGGATTAGAAATGTCCTCAGGCATCTCCCTCTGCTCCTCTCTCTCAGCTTTTAAGTACATTACCGTTTTCCCAGCCTAATGAAACACCCCACTGCCCCCCGACTGCACTTTTTCCTTCAGCTGCTGCCCATCTCCCTCCTCCCCTGTGGTCTCCAACCTCCTTGGGCCTACTGTCTATAAACATTGCCTCAATGTCTTCATTTCTAACTCTCTCTCTTGAATCCCTAGCCCTCTCCACCACCCAGAGACTGCTCTGAAGGTACTCAGAACCTCTCCTGGCCATGCATAAAGACCTCCACATTGAACTCTCTGCTGTTTTTGACTTGGCCTATCACTTCTTCCTGTTCCATCTGTTCCTCACACTCAGCTTTCATGACTTTATTCTTTTAGATATCTCATCACTTCTGATTGCTCCTGCACCAACACTTGATTGCTGCTCTTCTTCCCCTTTCCTGGGGTCTCCTGCACCAATCTGCACTCCCCTCCAATCCATACAAAGCACTGCTTCTAAAAGCAATCATCCTTGTGGAATACTCAGACCATGTCCCTCCCCACCTCAAATCCCCTCACTGGCTTCCTTTTGCCCTCTGCATCAGAGACAAGCTTCTGGTTCTCCATATCAAGGCCCTGTACGCCACCACCTCTGCCTTAATCCCAGCTCTCATTTCCTCCTACTTCTCTCCTGCTGCTTTTGCTTCTTGCAACTTGCTGTTCTACACATCCCTTTGGCATGCTTCTCCCACTCATCTCTGTGCATTCTTTTACGCTGGCTCTTAAGCCTGGAACTCCTTCCTTTTCCCTGTGTACCAAGCAACCACTTCTTCGTTCAAACCCCTCTTTAAAATACTTTTCTTCCCTGAAGCTCATCAACACTGATCCCGCAAAGAGAAAGAAATGTGTGTATAAATATATATAAAGATATCCGCATTGTTTTGAGATTGTTCATGTAGCTGAACAAAATGGCCTATTTTAGAATACATGCTTCTTGAGGAAGGGAAAATCTCTTAGTCTACAATTTGCACTACCCATACTGATGCCCCCCCAATAAATGATAAATAATAGTGCATCAAGAGCCTGATTCAATGCCCACTTTAATCAGTAGGAGACTTCTCATTGGCTTCTATAGGCATTGCATCAGACTCCTATACTTCTAAAGATGCATAAGGCTTAGGCTCATTAACATAGCAATAATAGTGAGAAAAACTACCACATGTACTGACTTAAAACCCTGCACAGAATGCAGAAATAAATTCAGATAATTTCTCGGAAGGGTGAGAAAGGCAGCACTGCTGCATTACATATGACCTTGTTAGCATCATGACGCTGAACCTGAAAAGTGTGAAACAGTCATGCTAAACAAACACCAGAGTTCAAATTCTGAGATGACCCTGAATAATCTGGCATTTGCATGACTTCAGTGGTTTTTCCATTTGTATTTGTAATTTAAAGGTGATTTGCTGGCTTGCAGCAAACAAACTAGGAAACTGAAGGGATACTGACAGTCTACCAGTGTAGACTAAAATAAGGCTTCGATGCTACCTAAAGATACCTACAAATTCATTCTCATCTGCTATTCAAAGTAATATTTCATGGCTGATCTTCAAATAAAGGAATGTTAACACTTTAGATATCAGCATATAAAGTAGAGTTATATTTACAATTCAGTGACTTTTAGACTGAAAGTCCAACTAGGAAGGAGGGACATATCTCCCAGGCAGAATAGAATAGAATTTGGTTTCATGTGCTTTTGTATTTACCCCCTTGTGCTGGGATCATGCCAGATTTCAAACTAAGCAGGGATGAGCTGAGTCAGTGCTTGGATGAAAAGACTGCAGAAAGTGGTGAGGGTGATTTGTTAGATGGAATTTGTCCATCTGAGTCAATAATGAGCAAAACAAAGTGTGGAAATGATGTATGCTGCTGGAGGCACTTGCTTTTGGAAGTCAGTCACTTAAAACTAAGGCCCTGGGCACTTGTGGTCATTAACAATCCCATGACACTTTCAGTAAGAGTAGGCACAATTCAGGTAATTATACTCTCCTAAATTCCCCTGCAGCTTCAATGGAGTGTATAAAGATCCTTCTTCACTTGCTGTCCTAAAATTGTAAAACAGCTGCTGGTTTCTACCCTAGTGATGATTGAGTTTCATATATAACCTCTCTCCCAAGCCTGTTGCGAGATTTTTAAAAACCCTGGCTCTTTTTTAGAGGTACAATTTCGTGAGTATAAATGAGAGGTTACAGACATCTACCTAACTTAGAGTTCTTATCAATCAGGTAGCAAGCTCTCTATCTACCTTCACCTATGCCAGTGAACATGCCATACAGGAGGCCAGATTTTTAAAATTAGTCATTCATGTTAGTAAAGCACTTAATGATTCTCAGATGAAAGAAGCGTAAAGGGTTGTTCTTAAGTTCTTACAGACAGGGCCCCATGAACTATGTGGCAAGCAGGACCTAAATCCTGCTTTCTGTGCATTCTGGTGCAGCAGCCCAGAAATTCTATGGAAGCTTCATTTCAATTAAAACACAAAACAAAAACAGTTTTCAAATGAAATAAATTTGAAAATAAATAACAGAATCTGTGCAGTGGCCCTTTCCTGATTTATTCTGATACTTAATACAATTTATTTTATACTACCCAATCGCTCTGGGCTTTCATATGCCAAAGGATTTCCATTGACAACATATAATTGTTGAGGGTGTCAAGGGACAAGCTGGAGGTTCTGGTAGGTGAGTACATGTTAGTTGGGCATTTTAGCCCTGTGGTGAGGTGAGAGACAATTTGGGATCATGAGATAAGGACATTTGCTAGATGTTTCTGCGAAAGTGATTAGCAGTTAATATTCTGACATTTAAACTGTCATCTTTAGACTTCAGACCTAACAACCCACTGAGACGAATGGGGCAGTTCACACTTCTCAGAGCTATTATTTTAGACTTGGATTCTGCAGCACAATTCAGTGGCCAGGGTGACAATTCCACAGCACAGTTCTGTGGCCTCTCCGAGTCATAGAACTTCTGGGACCCTTGTTTTAGAAGTTCAAAATATAATTATGAGGTTACCACAGAGCATTTTACAATCCAAAATTATATACCGTCAGTGTAGTTGCTATATAGGCATGAGACACATTAGACACTTCACTCAGCAGTAATTCTCACCCAGCCCTTGTATATCATAGTGACAGAAGGAATTGTTTGGCCTGGACACAGAGTGTATCCCCTATTCTCTTTGAAAGGTGTCATGGGAACTGTACCTCCCCTTACAAGGCAACCAGAATTTGACAGAAAAGGGTACAGTTTAACATGTCACCTAAAGAATGACACCATCTATGCTAGAGCAGTATAAAACTATTTGTTTTCACAAATGTGTACCAGAACTGAAAGTTTCACGGTATTAATGAATTTGAGCAAAGCAAGGGCATATTTTCAAAGGTATTTAGGTACTTAAAAATGCAGATAGATGGCTAGTGGGATTTTCAAAAGCACTTGCTGGTTAGGCAACCTAGCTTCCATTGGTGAGTTAGATGCCTAACTCCTAATGAAATCAGGTTAGGCACCTAATGTGTTCAGGCACTTCTGAAAATCCCACTAGATGTCTAAGTACCTTTGAAAATCTGGCCTGAAATGTCCACATTTCCACCAATGTGAACAGTATTTTGCAGTGTCAAAAACTCTTCCACCTTCAGAGAAATTTTTCTTTTGGGCATACACCATTATGAATTTGCCCCTACAGGCAACCAGCATTTTCTGCAGCCAAAATAGAATTTTGTGGCAAAACTGCTTTTCATTTCTACAGAATATCAGAGGTGACAATAGCAAATGCTTTGCTGACCTAACAAGTCAAGACCGTATACCAACTTTTCCTCTGGTGAGATTTGTTTTCCCCTGAACAGCCCTTCCCCTAGTACTGCTTTGTAGTCAGCAGCCATTATCAGTTCAAGTTCATTGGTAAGGAATTGGAATAATGACCTTCAAGTCTAGAAGAAAGAATGCTACCAACTCAGTCATATTGATACTTGCGACAAATGTTTTTCTGGTGTTAAGCATGGTTCTCTTCCCTCATATTTTAGATTGTCTTTTATTTATTATTTTTATTAAATAATAGCAGTTCAAATAAAAAAACAAACAAACCCCAGCATTTTTGCTGAACTTCTTGCGTCTGTCATGTCAGGATATCAGCAATTTCTATTTAATTGTCTTAGAAAGATTACTAGTGACTGGACTGTACAATCAAGCAAAAAAAAAAAAAAACTGTTTCCCTTCAGGTTATAGTTTTCATCAGTTAAACAGTGTAGCATATAGATATCTTTAAAATCTACCTTTCAAGTATTTGGGTGATTGTTTCAGAGCCACCAAGGGCCTGGGCACTATACAATCTATTGACAAACAAGCCCTTTCAAAAGTGGCTTTTTGTGGTAAGGGTAAGAGAAGTGGAGTCAGTGCTGGTGAATTCATAGCTAAATGAATGTAGACCCATAAACGTTTCTAACTTACAAGGCTGGATTCTCCATTGCCTTTCACCTTGTGTAGTCAAGTACACTGATACAAAATAAATTTACAACACTACCAGACCAGAACCAGCAGTTTAGACCCATTTTGTATTCACCTTACACAGGTGTACATGACTTCACAAGGTATAAGGCAGTGGAGAATCTGGCTCACAGTGTGGCGGTCAAGACAGTCTTGTTTTATAAAAGCAGTTGCAATTATCCTGTTACAAAGTATCATTTTAGATAAATAAATGCTAAGGCTTTGATCCTGACCTGCAACCAAGGCAGCTCATGGGTGTGGGTTCAAAGGTGGCTTTAAACCTCTTCTGTGATCTTCTCATCCAAAATGCATACTGAGGTAGGTCCAAATCCCGGCATAAATTAGAGCAGCCTGACAGCTGACATTTACAGTGGTTGCTCACAGCTATAAGGGTATGTCTACACAGCAATTTAAGTCCAGGTCTGAGGCTGGGCTCAAGTCAACCCCCCTTTCATCCACACTGCAGATGTGCTAACGTAGGGCTCAGACGCAAAGCGCTAGGACCCTGCAGGGCTCGAGGGTCCGAGCCCACGTTAAGCTGGGACCTAAGGTCGAGCCCTATTCCTTTCCTGTGTACATGTGGCCCTGGCTTGACTAAGGCTCCGGAAGTCCTCTGGATGCATCTCAGAGTTCCTGGCGGTAGAGGAGCAGTGCTGCAGGCAGCCACAGGCTCCATTACTGCCTGGCTGAGCACACTCCCACTTCCTGCTCTGGCTCCTGCTCACTGTTGTGCAGAGCCAGCCCGGAACAGGAAGCAAAGTTGAGAGGCGGGAAGCAGCTCCCAGGATGTTGGGAGTCATCCCTCCCCCAGCCGTGCTGAGCCATGGGCTCTGCCACTTCCCCTCCCTGCAGGGTGGCGCTTGCTCCTGAATCCTCCCTGGGGCTGCGTGTGCAGGGGTGCCCGGGCAGTGTGCACTATGAAGATGGTGAGTGGAAGCCAGCCCCAAAATTTCCCCACAGCCTCCCAGGGATCCCTTATCCCTGCCTCCTAGGGTGCAGTGGGGGCAGGGATAAGGGATCCCTAGGGGGTGCTAGAGCAGACTGCACCCCAAGCCCTGGGAATACAGTTCACTCTGCCGCAGCGGGGAGCAGCCAGGCTGGGGTGTGTTTGTGTCTTTTTCCTCTGAAACCTGTTTTATGTCAAACTCCAAAACAAAACAGACCAAAATAAATAAAAAAACAACCAACCAAAACCACCAGCATTGAACATCCCAGTTTAAAAATGAAGAATCGCAAAGTTCCATTTTAATAGTTTGACAGCCCTGGAGACTGATGTCCTTATTACCCTCAGAACAGGTGCACATGGCATTTTCCTGCCACTGTGACTCAGCCTAGAGCTGGAGAGCCCAATTCTCAGATTAGATGTCATTTCAGTATAAAGCCTTCTCAAACTGCAGCCATTCTACTGAGATAGCCACTAATTATGCTGTATGTTCTCATGTGCTCCTTATGGGCTCCTGAGTCCCATCAATACCACTGCCACTGTTAGGAAACAGGGTGGGTAGTAGAGTTTTCCCACAGTGCAGCATATTCCTAGGGCCTGAGTGTTAACACTGGGGAGGAGGGAGAGGTGCTAGGCACTCTGGGATAAGTTTACTTTGGCTTGGGTTTGTGCACTGCAGTGTGGACCCCAGAATCCTAGGTTCGAGCACGGGTCAGAAAATCCTTAACCTATGGTTAAAAAGCAATGTAGATGCTCAAGCCCAGGGTTTCCTGACACAGGCCAGCTGACTCAAGTCCCACCAACCCTAGGCTTATATTGCTGTGTAGACATAGCCTAAGGGTCCATTACAGCAGCTGGAGATTATCTGGGCATGAAGGAACTCTCACCATGCATTGTTTTCCCTGACCTCACCCTTAATACTGATGGCTGGATGGAAGGGAAGGCATAGGATCTGCTACAATGGCTCTACATCACCTCAGGATTCCTCTACACTGGGGCAATCTCCCAGTGGATAGATAAACCAGCTTTAAGGCACAAAAACATACAGTGTGTGATTTTTTTTAAAAGGTACATTACACTTTTGGCAAGAAAAAAATGATACTATTTTATGAAAGAAGTATGCTAATGATAATCATTGTTTTTATTTAGAATAGCCTCTGTCCTAGGAAAATACTTTTTTGTGCAGGCAACACAGATAGGATTGTACCCTTCTGTCCGCTAGCTAACAGAACATAGCATACCCAGTACAATCAGTAGTGTTGACTGACTTTTTGTACAGGATAGATCCTGATGGCACATGAACAATCTCACCTCCAGCAAAACGTCAGCTGAATCATGAAGACACAAGGTCAGGGCTCCCACTCGTGTCAAATTGGTTGCATATGAAAAGGATATCAAAATGACTGTTACAATGTGATGCGTAAACATAATGCTGAAATCCTAGAATGTCAAGAAGAAGAAGAAGAAAAACAGTGAGACGTGTAGCAGATTCAGCATCTTTACACAAATGGATGGGTGATTTTAAAGTTTAAACTCAGGATTAGAGGTTACAATACTCAAAAACCTTGAATAATTCTCTTAACTGAGTGCACATTAAAATACACATAATTATGCATTTAATTTAAATTAAACAAAACAGTTACTGTATGTAGAGCAAAAACAAAAACAGATTATTAAGAATTATGTAGCATTTCTATTTCACAGTTCAGTGAATAAATCTAACGAAGTAAAGCTTTTACAGACAAAATTACTTATAAAAGGCATATGTGCATACCACTCAAATTACACCATTTCTCTTATGCCCTAGCAGCTTATAACATGCAAAACAATGCAGCCCAAAATCACTCATGTACAAGAGCTTAGACACTGTTTACAAGCTTTGCTTTGAGTGCACTTTCAGTAGATACAGAAACACAAACACATGTTTATATTGTATTAAAGGCCTCTCCTAGACTGCTCCCTGATACAGCCCCTCAGGTCTCTTAGCACCGAGGATCCCATTTCTAATATTTTTAAGAAACTGCTTCTTCTCTCCCATTCCATTCTACATGCTGTCACAGGGTGAGGTAGCCCTTTAAAGGAATCAGCTGACGCTGCAATGCTATGGATCAGGTGACAGCTTGAAGATCACCTAGTCTTCTTAAGAGCCAGCAAGTATCTCAGCTGCTGGTGAGAACTGCAGGAAGAAGGAAGGCTCTTTCAGGAGGCCTGGGATTAGGGGACAGAACTCAGTTCTGTGACTCCAGGTAGATGGCTGGTGGAGTGTAATCTAGCAAGGAGCAACGGCTCACTTGAGTCCTAGGCAGATGGCCTAAGGCGTGCAAAAGCTGTGAGGAGTAGATAGGCTCCTGCAGAAGACCCCAGATCAGGGCAAAAGGACTTGATAGAGATGTTGAACTTGTCTTAAATGTGTTTTATTTTGAGGAAATAAAGAAGAGGTTTGGAACTGTGCAGTGGGAGAGTGTTCTTTGGAGCATGGATGGGTGAGACAGCCCACAGGCTTACACATGCTAACGCCAGCGTCAGTGAAAATGCAGGCACTTTTCTGATCCTGTCATCCCTCAAGTCTCCATGGATCTCTCAGGGACCTGGATTTGATAAATCCTCTGTGCCAGGAGACCTGAATTTTGCCTCCTCAACAAATACAGCAGCTTCCAGTTCAGGTCAATAGTATATCCTCAGTTGTGAAATGGATAGGTTCTGTCAGTGCCCCTCCCATTCTCAATTGTTCAACCTCTAGATTGAGAAAAAGGAAGAGAACATGAGTTGCAAAGGAGTCCACAGGTTAATATAGTGGGATAAAGCACCTCACCTCACTGCCTCTGCTTCAAAAGTTCTCCCTTTCTCTTTATAAAATTATAAATATTTTATTTCCTTTTCCAAACAACAGCCCTAATTCTCCATTGCCTTGCACCTTGTGCTGTCATTTATAGGTGCGCAAAGTGATCTTAAACTCACTCTGCACAGATATAAATGACCAGAGAAGGAGCAAAGGGGAGAATCTGGCCGAGACAGCAGAGCAGAAAACAGAACACAAGGAGCCTGATTCTCGTCACCTGCTCTGAAAAAACATCATGATGTTGGCCCATATGGAAGCAGTGACATCAGTGCTAGCATTTGCTTTTTGTAGATTCCAGGAATTACTATGACCTCATTCCACTATTAATTGCAAGGAAAGCGAAGAGTAAAATATGACAAAACATTTTCCCTTTGGGCATGTGAATTCTGTTTGTACCTTACAGTACAAGTAGCATGTACAGAATGATCTAAAAAATCTGCAGCACATTCTTGCCTGAGAAGTCTCCCTAGTATTAACAATGAGCGGATACCACTCCCCACTCTCCACTTTATTGGAAAACATTCACAAGTACTCTGGGTGTCCTACAATCTAGAACTGGATATTACTAGTAAGTCCACCACGAGGCTGAAAAATAATGCTAAAACCAGACATTTGTGTTGTAGTTTGATAATTGTTTTGGGAGGAAGAAATACAAGCTTGAATTATTTATGGATTTTTTTCAAACAACATTATGGTCCCTGACATTAAGGCTGCTGACTGGAGCACAGTGAAAGATATTCTGCAGTCATCTCAAAATACTGCCTTAATTTCAATTTCTTAAGACAAATAGAACACAAAGTAAGGAAAGCAGGATTAAATGTTGCTTCACATTGCAAGGGTCTTAATGATCAAAATAGAGAAAAATGGTCTGTCTTTCTCACATTCAATACCAGTCCAGATATTTATGGCCATCCAGTTGAAAATTTAAGCCTTCTATAATCAAATTAGTGAAGCTTTTACCTTTCCCCCAAATATTAGAAAAAGCATGGCTAGGAAAATAATGCGGTCTCTGAGGTTTCCACATTGACATATCATGCCTTGTTTCCTTACACGTTTCAGTTACGTGTGGTACGGAACTGCCTTTTGATTTCACTGCCAATGGCAATTAAGTTAGTACAGACTCAATCCAAATGCAGGGATAAGTCAAGCAGAAAATCATATCTGCTTTTGTAGCTGCCACATCCATGCTTGTAAAAATACTAGATTTTTCAGTCTCTTTTTGGAACTCTTTAAGGAGTTCTTGACCATTTGTATTGTGTGTCAGAGACCTTAAGATTCTTGAGCAATAGCATCTTTATTTATTATCTACTTATGGATCAGCTGTCCAGTGGACTGTTTCCTTCACGTAATTCACTCTCTCTTTTAAAAAAGTTTTATCTGTCTTATTCTCTTTTTATAGTATATAAGAAGTACCACAAGACGGATGGAATAGAACCTTGGGTTTGTGGCAGGGTCGGATTCCCCATTCCCAATTAAGGTACCACAGTGTTGGCCAAGCCATTATTTGATCTGCCAGCAGAATCTGGTAGCAGGAAATCCACTCACCCTATGCAAAATACAGATACTATGGGGAACATTCAGAATACCATCAGTGGCCACTTTGCCCCTCTTTTAGATCTACAGGACACGAGTAGAACTCTAGGCCATGAGTGGGGAGATTTTAGGGATGAGCCCATATCCAAAAAGCAAAATCTGGGTGGCATCAGAGATTGACAATCTAACAAGAAAAAAGGAAGCATATCTTAAATCTGAACACAGCACTGAGCAGAATAACAAATACAAGGAACTAGAATGAATGGTCAACAAGGAACTAGAATGAATGGTCAAAAAGGCTAAGAAAAACTGACTCGAGAGGTGAAGAGCTTGAAAAACAATTTCAAAAAAGTAATGCAAGATGGCTCTTTCAGAGAGTTAGATTACTATCAAAGTTAACACCTGTAATCGATGGCCTAAAATTCTTCTCTATGGAAGCGTGCATGTCGAGAGAGGCCATGGACATCTAAGGACAAAGTGGTATAACACTGTATATAAAACCACACACAATCCCCCAACAGACTCAAATGGCAACTCAAAACAGACATGGATGGAAGATGCTCATAACCTCAGCCCTACCCCATCCTGACATTGCAAAAAGGAGAAGATAATGATTATATTATACATATTCTATAGGGCTTTTTGAATCCCTTATTCTATAGGTCAAATTCTAACATCATTTACATGCAAACAAAACCAGATCACTGGGGATGCAGACATTTGTAAGGGCAGGATTTGGCCCTCTATTTGCATCTATGTTTGTGATTTTAAACTTCTTCAAAAATTTTAACTAACAAAATAGTTTGTGTCCCTTGTAGAACTGATCCAACACATCACAGAGAACATATTTTTGCAGGATGTTCAAAAGGGAGGAACCTTCCTCTCTGGAATTTGCTTCCCTGTTGGTCAGACAGAATGCAAGCCCAGGGATTTTTAGGATCCCCATGCAAAGCTCACTTGTGAATTCCAGCCCTTCCCTGATTGTGACTGGAGGAGTTCATTTTATTTGGAATTTATTGTTGCATAGCTTGTACCATCCACACACAAAGAACCTTTCTGATGGAAACATATTTATAAATAAGTAAATAAAATAATATTTTAACACCAAAAGATAGTTTTTAAATTGTGTATGTACAGAAATAGTTTATATTCAACGAGGCACTCTGGAAGTGAATTGTACTGTGTGAAACTGTGGCATATTGAGTGAGAGGGTCATTCATTAGTGAAACTGAGCAGTCTTTTCACATGAATTGCCCAAAAGTTTACTCAAATACTTTGTATTTCATCATGTCAGACTGTTTCTTTCCTTTAAAAGGCCATGAGGTTTCCAAAGAGGCCCTCTTAAGTTATGTTTGAAGTGTCTCAGACATAGAACAGCAACAGTGTGGTGAATTAAAACAAGCAAACAAAATATATTAATGGAGCCAGAGGATATTTCCCACTGGATTATGGATGGAATTTTCCAAAGTGACTGGGGAACTCACATACCACTGAAAGTCAATAGGACTTCTGCTCCTTTGTCATCAGGGTGTTCTGGAAAAATTCCACCCTCTATTGAGCTTGTTCCATTAATACAATATATTAAGGATGAGGGGAGGGGGTTGTTGGGGGTTTTTTTTTTGGGGCGGGGGGGAGAATCTCACTTAGTTTCAAGTCTTCAACCATAACAGTTCCATCCTAGTCACCCAAGCTCCACAAGATCAGCGCAACGTGCATTTTTTCTCTCTGAGACTAAACACATCACTGTGTTTCTTCCTCCTTTCACCAGGGTATGCAGAAAGAGTTCCAAGGACTAACTATAGACATTGTGGAGCAGATTGCTCATGAAATATAGTTATAAACTTTCCATAAACATAACACACCATGCAGGGTAATTAGCAGCTACAGTTTTTTTTAAATGAATGGAGAAGATCTGGGCACTGCTAAGCCACCTGAAAACATATAACATTTGTAATCACTAAAGTACAATTTTCACAATCTTTCATTGATCCAGGAAAGCATGGATTGAGGTAGCAATTTTACAAAATCCCTTAGGCTGACCTTAATAAACTATATTTATCTCAGAATACACTTCTGCCATGCTACCAACACACACGTACATAAATTTCACTGATTCAAAACTAACTGATGCTTTCTGACAGCCATAAGATTCTTAACCGATATGGTTTTCCTCTTACTGTTTGTGCCCTTTAAAAGTGGAATCTGGGAAGCAGCACAGAGGTGTAAAAATCATAACTCTGCTGCAGTCTTTGTAAACTGAAAACACCTTAAGGTTAGAAAATTATTACAGCGATACAGTAGAAGATTATGATCAAACATGCCATTATGAAAGTATAAAAGTTAATCTACCCTGTTTCATTGCCTTAACTGAATGCTGATGCTATGTAGTGAGCAAAATAGTTAGATTTTTGTCCATCTCTTTTCAGTCACTCAGAGATAATCTGATGGAATTGGGTAACAAACAAATAAAGACAAAACAGGTATTTGAAAATCAGCAAGCCCACGGGAAGTCATTTTCAAGTCATGAATTTGCTACATGGGAGGAATAACGTAGAGATGGAAATAGTGAGTGCATTTCCCTCACGACGCACAAAGTGAAAGACCAGTGTCGGAATGATGCCAGCGCTGAGCACCAGCACTGCAGCTCCAGCACCAGGCATTGAAAGAGGTCAGACAAAATGAAAGTGGGCAGCGGAATTCCAGCAGGGACTCAGATGGCAGAAATAACTGCCATGGCATTTCTAATCACTCTGTACTATGACACCATTGCTGTGGCATTCAAAACTTCTTAGAAAGAGATCCAAACTTACATAAGGAATTAATTTTCCCCCTGTTAAAAAAAATAGCAACAGATTTCTCAGGCTGAGAACTGGAAATCTGCCACCTATAAATGTCCATGAAGTACTCCAATAATGTCTTGTATTGGGTGGCAAACTTCACATTCCTTCTAGCCACGCAGCTAGACACAGGAGAGCTGTTTGTAGATTCTGTCTTCTAATATTCATTAGCTATCCCTTATAAAAGTAGCAGTCACAAATAGCGACAGTATGAACAGCAACTATACGTCACAGAATCCCAGAACAAAGCTTTAGAAAATGCAATACCAAATTTGCAATGTGCAGGATGTTTCCCATTGGCTTGTTTCTTAGTGAGACTTTTTGATTTAGTGGTCGAACTATTTCAGAAGGTTTTAGACACTGTAGTCTTTGATAATTGAATATTCAAATTGTAGTGACCTCACAACGAACCAACACTCACTCGATGATATTTCTTCTGTATATGAGGGTCAACAGTGTAAATATCACAACTCACACTATGGGCCTGACCCCTCCCTCACCACTTTTATTCCAGTGTGATTCCCATTGGCTTCAGCAGATTAACACCTGATTTGCACCAAGTTAGTGGAGTCTGAGGCTCAGCGTGTAATCATTTGGGAACAGAAAATTGTTACAATTTCCAGTTCTCAGCCTGAGAAATCTGTTGCTATTTTTTTTTAACAGTGGGAAAATTAATTCCTTATGTAAGTTTGGATCTCTTTCTAAGAAGTTTTGAATGCCACAGCAATGGTGTCATAGTACAGAGTGATCAGGCTGTAACTGATGAAAGATATTTCCCTTGTAGATCTCAGGGTTTAAATGCTATTAAACAGATGCTGAAAACCAAAAATGAAGTTAAGACCTGTTTGTTCATTTGTCTTTTTTCATAAAGTTATCTTGCTCTCAGTTATGCTCATGCCAGTTCATTGACTCCAGTGGAAGCGTAACTTAAGAGCAAAATTGGACCTGAATCTGTACAATTAGAAGCCACAAGGCTCTTCAGCATCCTAAGACCAGAGAGGACCTTCAAAGTTCATACATATCACTCAGAGGTCACTGGTAATGAAAGCCATGTACACAGGACAAAAATAGAAGCTAAAGGTCTGGGCACAGGCCATGGTGACCAAAACTCACTCAGACACATAGAAAATAGGCAAGGTTTAAATGTCGTACCCCCAAAAGGACAAACAGAGAAGAGGGGAGGGGAGGGAGAGAAAGCATTGAGCTGCAGTCCTTCATTGTGGCTGACCTTTGCTGTATATTGCAAGTTCAGTGCCCGTAAAGTCCATTCACACCTACATTGCCAGACAGAAAGGTTAGATATCCACAAGCACACACAAACTTAAATAAATAGAATAGTCAATTTTACCCATGTAAATTGTGTGCCAAAGCCTGCATTCCCGACATCAATGGAAGTTTTGCCCAAGTAAGTATACAGGGCCTGATGCAAAGCCCACTGAAGTCAATGGAACTTTTTTTATTGACTTCAAATGAATTGGACCCATAGAGGTAAATTGTACAACCAATAGACAGCAGAACCACTCTCAGCATTCCACTCCATAAGGCAGTTCCAGGTGCAAGAAGGCTGCATGGGGGAAAATTCTGCCTCCCTCTGAGACTCAATCCATGCAACAGTGTGGGGCCAGAGAATGGATGTGCCCAGAGGGGAGCAGCTCTGCTAGTTCTCTGTATCCTGGAGCATGAGAGGCTAGATCTCAACCTGACCCCTCAGGAGAGACCTGGCCTTTGTGCTATGGGCAGGTTTTGGCCTTAGAGTAAGAACTTCAGGAATGGGCCCTGTTTGCATGCACAGAATCCAGAACAGCGAGCAGTAATGAGTGGTTAGATGCTCAGCTAGTCAATCTGGGTATGGATCTACCTGTCTGATCAAATGTGACAACTCTCTAAATCATGGGAGAAATGGACACATTACTTGCCCCCAAGAGGTTTCAAATTAGGAAAGTTTTTGAACATCACAATGGACCTTTTGAAAGCTGCATTTTAACACTGTTATATAGTGTTCAGTACTTTCCCACTTTTTATATAATCTAAGATGTTAGCAGGCATTTTTAAAAAAAATGCATCCAGGTCAGCATTCCATAGTTTTGCAATTATGACATTCCTCCCCCCAGAGGTGCACAGAGAAGGCAGAATAAAGATATAATTGAGCAGCACATAAGGCTAAATACATGCAGTGGGACTGCTTAGATATAATGACACATTTCTGCAGGAATAACCTGAATGATATTGTAACATTGCTGCAGAGATTTGGTATTGGTTTTCATATTTGCAAATGGTTATGTCCTTCCTACTACTGGTGCTTTCACGTATCGTATTTGGATTGTATTCTTCTCCGCTGTCAGACTCTTCTGCTGAGCCATGTTTCTCTACACCTCTGTTTCGGGATGAGTAAAGTTGTACTGATTTCAAGCCACTGACTGATTGCACATGTAGTGACTGTAAGTAGATTGGGCACTCGGAGCAAACAGCATATATGTCTGTGTCAACTCTTCTGTTTACACTGTATCATCTAACAAAGATTTGAGATTCTTGGACATTTCCTTGGGCTTCCTGATTCTGGAGAGAAACTTTGCAGATGCTGGAAATGGAGTATTTTCCTTGCTGAAACAAACACAGACTAGGATTCCCAGCTGTACACTGTGGTTCCAGGGGGAGGATTCATTTTCTTGAGGACACTCTTTATTCTCTGCTTCGTTTCCCAGAAATATGGTCTTGTTAGAATTAACTGCCCCATTAAACAGGGATTTTTCTTTTAAAATTATGGGTTAGGCTGTGATCATTTAATTAAAAACTGTGTCAACAGGGGGATGGGCAACCTTAATACAGACATTTTCTTACTTTTCAGTGATTGACTTTGCAACCTAAATAAAGTTCTTTTAACAGTTTTTTTAAAATGTAATTTCCTTATTCCTTTAAAGAAAAGAAACAAAAATAAATTCTATCCTATGCAACTTTAACACATTACAATAATCCGAAGCACAACATTAACATTGTATTTTAGACCATTACTGTAGAATACAGCACAGGGTTTTTATTGTTGTTGTTCTTTTTGGTTTTGTTATGGATGACCATTGTGCAATTCTTGCTGCCTGTTGAAGGAGAAGGAAGGGAAAACAAAATGGAACAGGCTGCCATTGGTACTGTTCAATAGCATTCTCATATGGACAGCCAGCACCGACAATGTGGTTCTGCAAGGTTAAAGGTTCTGGTTAAAAGCCCATCTGCTTTGTATAACAGGCAAGTTCCCAAACGATGACTTAAAGATGGACACATTGGGAATGGATTTATTTCACAGTCTATGCAGTTTTCCAACTTCAAAATTTCTTTTCCCCATTACACAGAAAATAAAAGACACTGGGTTTTGTTTCGCACATATGGTTAGTTATAGCTATATACAAAAGATATGAAGCTTCTTGAGGTTTTCATCTGTAAAGGAAAGATTGATACTGTAGTATCAATTTAATATCAGATACATTTATATGCCTTCATTTTGTCTTTACAGGGAGATGAACTCAAAGTTCTCATGAATCTTACCCCAGATGGTACCCTAGTAAATTCACAGCAGCATCTAGCTCTGATACTGATGCTCTTATCACATCATGTCAAGTGAGTACACCACAGTTTATTGATCATCAAGAGACAACACAATCTCTGATGTGAGAGTAGCAGATTATCAATTGACATTGTGGCCCTTTGCCACTGAATATTAGATTACTGTGGGCTGCTTCAGCAAGGTGCAGGAAATGGCACATCCCACTGCCCAGGAACTGAATGACGTGCCCACTTTAACATCAGTATCACAACGGTGAACATCTACAGTAGCTTGCAAATGGAAATAACTTGTGTCTAGCACAGTACATAGCGACAGGGTTGCATGCTACCCAAGAGTCAATGAAAGTGTGCGTTTACAGCCCCATCAAGTTTTTACACTGATTGTTCTTACCTTTCTTTTGATGTCCGTGAACTGAGAAAACATTAAGGACCAATAGAATGACAACTCAACTATGTAGTAGTAATGAAGGTCAGGCATCAGCGGCTGAAAAAGGAAGGTTTAAAAAGATTGAGAAAGTAATTTGTTTTATAAATACTAAACTCCACAAGGAGAGGGGAAATTGCAGACAGACTACGGGCTAATCTTCCTATCTGGGGCAGTTCTGACGGGTGCCTGTTCCAAGCACTATAGCTCTGTGAGAAGAAGCCCCTCCTCATCTGTTACTTACGCTTCTTTTTTATGTTTAGATCCTGATAACTGAGCTATACCCCTTCCCTTCAATGCCAGTAAGACAGGCCCTAGATCTTTAGGTACCTAGAGCAGAAATGTTTCTGGCCAATTTTGAACACGGCACTTTTCTCATATGCAGCAAAGGAATGTTTGATTATACAATTGTCTCCTGTTGGTTTCCAAATCAGCTGCATCCAATTTAGAGTATACCAAAAGCTGCAGATGCACAGTGAATTGGGAAGAAATGGCTCCAGTGAACAGTCTTACCTCTGTGTGTTGACACCATGGTGGGATTAAAGAAGTGCTGTCAACACCACCATGATGAAAGTTATACCAGTCTTTCTAATGTAATCTGTTCTTACGGGGTCTAAAAATGACCTATGAACATACCATCTTTTGGAGGACATGAAGCAATTTGTATAGATTAAATCCATTCAGATCCCTTTGGCCTACAACACAGAAAAAAGCAGGGCCCCATACCCTTACCAGCAGCCAAGGAGTGCTTGACGCAGCTGAGAAGGGCAGAAGTGTAAAGAGGCTTTAAGTCTGGTCCCAGACATAAATTAGAGCAGACTGGGGGCGACTCTAATTTACACTCAGCCATGCCCATTTCCTGCTCATCATGTCCCCTACATCAATGAAAGGGAGGGGTTCTGGGATAGGAGATGTTACTGCATTTTTATGCCACTGGAGGACTGCCCTGGGCAGAGAGAATCCTTGAGCGGCCAGAGTCACCAGGTTTAGACCAGTTTTGCACTGGAGGACCACCCAAAGTTGTTGCAGAGCAGGGCAAAATCTGTCCTACATATGTAGTTTTGATCATCATTTCTATTCTATAACACAAACAGATTTCTTCTTTTAAAATCTTTTCATGTCAATAAATCTTTATTTTCATGTATTTCTTCATATTTAGAAAACCCTCTTTAGGTGCCTAGCCAATGCTCTGGGATAATTGTTTTTCCTGCTTTGTAAAACACAATAACTTTTTAAAAAGTGCTTAAATTTACTGGTTGGGGTTTTTTTAAGTTTCAATTATGTCAATCATACAGATAATGCAAAAACTCAATTGTTGCCATCACCAGGTCTGCTTGCCCATTTTTAGACAATCTTTTCTAGCTTTGTATTAATTTGCTTAGTTTTTAATGTAATGCAGGTAAAAGGTACCTGGTTGATAATCCTAGAATCCAAAGGCATGGGGAGTTGGATGGTATGCTCTCTCCAGTTTCCCCACCAATGAAGGAACAATTCATATGTGACTAAGGGTAGTTCATTCTCTCTGGCCCATTCAGTCTTTGTCTGCTCTGCTGACATTGCCAGGAAGGGGGTTGATTAGCGGCAGTTTTTTAAACTTAATTCTGATATATGGACTAAAAAGGAAGCTGGAATTACAGCCAAAATCTCTAAAGAATTTACAAGGAAAATTTGTATTAGAAGAATTTTTAGGATTGTTGGTTGTTCTCTATTGATAAGTTTTTCTAAACCCAAAATCAAGATAATTTGGGCGGCGGGAACCTCCACACTGTAAGGATGTCCCAGTTTTCATCTCATAACAAATGCATAACAAAAGTAGAGAACTTGATCAGTTCCAATGTTAGTTCCTGATCCTTAACTTCAATAGTGCGTAAAGTGAGGATTTGGGCCTTAGCCAATCAAGTGAATGCAGAATCACCCACTTGTCTATATCTATATAGAGTTGTGTTGGATTTCTGGAATGCCATGTTGAATAATTCATGTGAGTCACAGCATGATTAGAACTTTTATTCATTTAGAAAACAAAGCAAACAAACAAAACCCCCGCAAACACAACCTTGATTTGAGCCCAACACATTTTTTCTCTGGGACAATGACTGACTGTTCTTATTTTGTGATTTGCTGTCTATCAAAATTCATTCTCTGGCACTGGATCTTCTCTTTGTCTGCTGCTTGTCGCTATAGATCTCATAGATCTCTACGAGTATTCAAAAGGTACAACTAATTTTCTCAGTAACAAAGGGCGACCTCTCTGTCCTGATCATAAGCTTAGTAAATATTCACGCTCTTTAGCCAATCATACTGATTCTTTCTTCAGAAGCAGATTGTAAACTGCATATTACATACATAAGAAAAACACATCTCGACATTTTAGACTTCTCAGATTGCAAACTCTTAAACTGGTTTCTCTTAGTCTTTTGGGCACTAATGATCACTGATGGGTAGGGTCCCTCATTATAAGGGACATTCCTTATTTTTTCATCTCTGTACAACAAGACTAGGAGTTGCTGAGTGCTGCAAAGAGCAGCAAGAAAAACCCTGGCGAAGTATGTGAATACTGCTTATGAGAATACTACTACTACTACTTTCGGGAGGAGGGGTGGGGCGGGAGTGCTAAGAAAACAGTCCCTTATTTTTGAAATACAATGTTGGCAACCCCACTTATGGGTTTGTACAATGTCTAGAACAATGGGCCCCTGATTCTTGCTGGGGGTTTTGAGTACTGCTGTTACCAAATAAAAATGAAGAACAACACTGGGGCTAAACAGGTGAATGTTTGGAGTCTTTCTGAAAATTTAGAATTTAGATGGGTAGAAATGCTGCAAACCAAAAACACAACCACAAGTTACTGCAAGTCTTGAAGCCTACATCGTTAGGTGATATTTGTGACTTTTGATACCCGATTTAAAAAAATACTATATATCATGACAATGGATTTATGTTTAAAAGTATTAAGAAGACAGATGAGGCATAAGAAAATGGTTGCTCTGAAATTGGCAATTAGCTCCAAACAAAATATTGCTCTCACTCAAACAGCTGTGAAATCCCCAGGGCTCTCTTATTGTAGCCTGATGCTTATTTACATTCTTCTAAAAAAAAAAAAAAAAAGTGTACTTGTGGCACCTTAGAGACTAAAATTTATTTGAGCATAAGCTTTCTTGAGCTACAGCTCACTTCATCGGATGCATGCAGTGGAAAATACAGTGGGGAGATTTATATACACAGAGAACATGAAACAATGGGTGTTACCATATACACTGTAACAAGAGTGATCAGGTAAGGTGAGCTATTACCAGCAGGAGAGTTCGGGGGGGACGACGACACCTTTTCTAGTGATACACAAGGTGGGCCATTTCCAGCAGTTGACAAGAACTTGTGAGGAACAGTGGAACTAATAACTTAGTTAATAAATTAGGCTTGAATAAAGACTGGAGTGGATGTGTCATTACACAAAGTAAAACTATTTCCCCATGTTTATCCCCCCCCCCCCGGCACTGTTCCTCACACGTTCTTGTCAACTGCTGGAAATGGCCCACCTTGATTATCACTACAAAAGGTTTCTCTCCTCTGCCCCACCCCCTCTCCCCGCTGGTAATAGCTCACCTTACCTGATCACTCTTGTTACAGTGTGTATGGTAAACCCATTGTTTCATGTTCTCTGTGTATATAAATCTCCCCACTGTATTTTCCACTGCACGCGTCTGATGAAGCGAGCTGTAGCTCACGAAAGCTTATGCTCAAATAAATTTGTTAGTCTCTGAAGTGCCACTTTTCTTTTTGCGGATACAGACTAACATGGCTGCTACTCTGAAACCTTACATTCTTCTGTAATCTTGCAAGTATGATACTGTTGTGATGACATAAATGCAAACTAGTATTGCATAAAAATACATCTCCATGAAGCTGAACTTTCCCAAACGGTTGCCAATGCCAACTCCTAACCACATATGCACGGTGACATTTTTCTCTAATGAGCTCTCTAATTAACAATATTATTTAAAATTTAATAGATATTGATTAACTGATGCTCCCAACACCTCTGAGTGGTAGGTAAGTATTATTAACTCTCTGAGTACGTCTACACAACAATTAAATACCTGAGCCTGGCCCAGGTCAGCTGACTTGGGCTCATGGGGCTTGGGCTGAGAGGCTGTAAAATTGCTATGTAAATGTTCAGCCTCAGGCTGGAACCTGAGCTCTAGGACCTCACGAGTGGGGAGTGCTTTCAAGGCTGGGTTTCCACACTTTGAATACGAGGAGGTATCTCCTCCCACCATGCGTGCATTTCACGCAGCGTTCAGGGAGATTTTTGTCCCCAGACAAACTATCTTTTTGCCAGTTATTGCTGATGCACTTTTGTCCTCACCAGGAGGGACGGGTACATTTCCTTCTCTGAGGATGTCGCTCATGTTGCTCCTCCATGACTCAGACAACAGGGGGTGCGAAATGGTGTTTGTTGGGTAGTCTGATAAAGCTAATCAACATTTGCATAAAACGGGGGTTTGCATAGTAAAAACAACTTCTCATTGAGGTTGTATATTTATTCTATATAACAGGATGACTTACCTGATATGGGTATCCATTCCAGCACTGCCTTGTGTTCCAGAGCCAGGGAGTCTTAAAGAAACAAAACGAAGGGGCATGTTAGTAGTTGTGAAATGAAACAATGCAGTCCCTGGCAGTTAAGATGTAAATGGTTAATATTTTTCAGGGACTAAATCCTGACAGCTGCTGAGCATTTGTATGTCCCCCCACTGGAGTCAATCAGCACTGAGAGTGAGCGCTAGACCCCTCAAAGTTGTGTGTCCCATATTAGAACAACCCACTGTGACATTCTGTACCTCGTGGGAACACCCTATGCTGACAAATTCATCCTTATAAAGTGATTGTTTGGTATCCAATGCAAAGTTTGTCATGTCGGATGTCTTCGGAAGGCTCATGATGCACTGAGCATTGTTGTTATAGTGATGTTATAGTAATTGTTGTTACAGAAATGTTATAGTAATGTTATAGGTTATAATTCCATGTATATAGTTATGAGGCTGAAAATGTATCCTCATGGCTTAAAGCAAGCCCAGGCAAAAACTCTCCAAAAGCAGAGGGGCAGTTCACACCACATCAGGCATGTATGGGATGCCTCACAGGAACAAAGGACACTGGCGTAGGCAACAGCAAAGGATCTGTTGGACCAGGGGTTCTCAAACTAGGGGTCGGGATCTGTCAGCCTCCACCCCAAACCCCACTTCACCTCCAGCATTTATAATAGTGTTAAATCTTTTTAAAGTGTTCTTAATTTATAAGGGGAGTCGCACTCAGAGGCTTACTGTGTGAAAGGGGTCACCACTACAAAAGTTTGAGAATCACTGTGTGGCTCGCATTGAGCCACTCCCCTTCCTTTGGTCAGTTTTGGACTGCGATGAGGTAATGATCACCTGACTCTGAAAGGGGCAGAGGGGTGCAAAGCCAAGAGGGAAGAAAGGACATGATAAAAGGGAGAGATGTTTGCCATGCTCTTCCTCTCTCTTCCACCTATATCTACAGACACCACATCAAGCGACTGAAGCACTGATCAAAAGGGAGAGCCTGGCTGAAGGGCAACCAGCCAGCCTGTGGTGAGAAGCATCTAAGTTTCTAAGGGCATTGAAAGTGTTAAGATCAGCTTAGAATGCGTTTTGCTTTTATTTCATTTGACCAAATCTGACTTGTTATGCTTTGACTTGCAATCACTTAAAATTTATCTTTGCAGTTAATAAATCTGTTTGATTATTCAATCTGAAGCAGTGTGTTTGGTTCGAAGCATGTCAGAGACTCCCCTTGAGATAATAGGCCTGGTACATATCAATTTCTTTGTTAAACTGACAAACTCATATAAGCTTGCAGCATCTTACAGCATAACTGGGCACTGCAAGATGGAGGTTCCTAGGGTTGTATCTGGAGAGGAGATATTGGCTAGTGTCATTTGGTTGGACAATCCAAGGAGCAGCTTACATGCCAGAGGCTGTGCGTGAACAGCCCAGGAGTGGGGGTTCTCACAGCAGAGTAGGGTAAAGCTGGCTCCCAGAGTCAAGGATTGGAGTGACCTAGCAGATCACCGGTCCAGATAACACCAGGGGGGAACATCATACCCACTCATTCATAAAGAGTTTAACTTGTTCATGAAGGATTTGGGGGCAGTATGTTCTACAAAACAACACACTGTACTTCAGTCATTCTTACAGCTTGTGCACAAGCGGCAAAATCTTGTGTCACACTCTCAGCATCATAGCTAATAAATAATACCTCACTCTTATACAGCATTTTTCTTCAGTAGCTCTCAAAGTGCTTTACAAAGGAGATCAATATAATTACCCTCATTTTACAGATGGGAAAACTGAGGCATGGGGAGGTACAGTGAGTTCCCCAGAGTTACCCAACAGGTCAGCGACGGAGCCAGGAATAGAAGCCAAGTCTCCTGAATCTCACTCCAGTACTCTATTCACAAGGACACACTGTCTAATGGCCCTGTTGGCCTCAAACTGTCAAAATGTTTAGTCAGAATTGCTTCTGCACAGGTTGCTGTTCAGTCCAATCCCAGTTAACCCCAGGAAAGGGGATTATTTCCTCCACCTCCACCCTGACTGTCCTGCCTCCCCATGTAGATCAAATCAAGTCCCTACATGCCTGGTTTTGGTTATCACTGTCCTAAAGGATAGAGGTTGCCATCATACCATATATTCTGCTTGCAGTGATCTCCTAAAGCAAAATGAATACTGAGGGAGAGAAACTCACTGTAGTGTGTAAAATATCAGCTGAATTTTCCATTCAAAAAGGCCAATCCAAAGAAGTCAGAAAGATGTGACAAGAAGGTTCTTGTGGAGATGCATCACTGCTATCCTTAATTTGCTTTCCAGCTATTTGCACAAGATTTAGGTGACTATTTATCCTCCAATTTTTCATGAAAGAATAGAACAAGGAAGTTTCCTTAAATGTCAGTAAATCTATTCTTTCAGCAAGTATTCCTTTGTTCAGTTCAGTAGGGATTTCAGTGTGTTGCAGCACAGACAAAAATAGCAGCAAAGGCCTGATCATCTTAAATTTATTACCAGCTAGTGGAAGAATTTTTCCTCTCTTGAAGAGGTTGTTTACACTGGTATCCCAAAGAGTTGCACCCTGCCTTTCTGCTTCCTTAATGTCTAGTATGGTATACCTATGATTTGCAAAATACATGGCAAAACATCAACTTTCAATTTTTTCACACCACACACCAGGAAGAAAAATGTGCTATCAGTTGTCCCGGAACCAGTGCCCTCCCAAAACAGCAACTTTTGGGGGGCTAGAGTAGAATTTTGCAGATAGTATGGGCGCAAGAATGCCTAGTGTTCCAACATGCTACTGTAACTCAAAATTAAGAGTCACTGGCACTGCTTCCCTACAGAAGAAATTTCAAGATGGCAGCCAACAGTGCCTATAAAGGAAAACTAAGCTGGTGAAGCAATTCTATACAACAAAATGGCAGTTGAGTCAGTCAGAGCCCCTTTTCCAGCAAGAACTTTATCTCTGGGTTGCAGAAAACCCAATAAGCACCAAATACTCAGCTGTAGATTTCTTACCCACATATATAGCCTGGAGTTCAGAGACCAGACTTCTCCCCTGTGGTCCCTCCCTTTCTGGAATTCCTGCTTTTTGGGCCATAAATGGAGCACCTATGAGCATAAGTTGCCAGTAACCTATTGTTTGCCAGGGACAAGGTATCTGCACCCCTGAGCAGAGACATTAGGAACAGGTATTTATTTTATAAATCCTACTTGAACATTGATGCTGATTTCAGATAGCTTCTTCCCAAGTATCATGGTCCTAATTGAGGAGCCTGAAGCTGCAATCTTAAAATCACTCAGAGCAAAAGTTTCCAAGCTCTAGTCAAAATATATTAAAAACACTTTGAAATGGGCAGTAGGTGTTGACTTGCTTTTGTAAGAGAAAAAGGACACTAACAAGGGTCATAGGACCAGAGAGAGCTAAGAATCAATACTAATTATAGAAGAGCTAGAAATGTAAAACTGTCAGCTTAGTCAGCAGAACAGTATCATTTTTTATTCTGTCCAACAGTCAGAGCAGTGTAGGAGTTTGAGGGCTGAGTCACTTATTACTACAGAGTCTCCTGATGCAGAAGTGAGTTTATTTACCAGACACTGTATTTGTTTCAACTAGCCTTATTCCACCCAGGGAGCAATATACAATGTATTAGGCTGCTTTAAAACAAACAGCTGAGTTTTAATCCCTTAGTGTCAGTGGATTCCTTTTTCATGCTAGCTCATTGTGTGGACATTTCAACCAAGTCAACAGTAGCAATTTATAAAACTTACAAGCCTATGTACAAAACCTACCTTCTTAGCCTTTAGCATGAAAGGCAGCATGTCCTATAGTAGATAGGACACTGCTGTAGGAATTGGGAGACCGACCTAGGTTCTGTTTCTGGCTCTGCCTGCTGTCACACTGACTTGCTGTGTGACCTTGGGCAAGTTACTTCACCTCTTTCCACTCCTACCTTTTGTTCTATTGTTTTTAGACCATGAGCTCTTCAGGACAGGGGCTGTCTCTAAGTGTGTGTATAGTGCCTAGCACAATGGGGTCCTGATCTCTGTTGGGACTCAAGGCACTATGGTAACATAAATAATAATGATGTCTGATAATAATTGAAAAACTATTTCTACTTTATTTGCCTACAAAAATCGGCTTCCCCCAACTGAGTGGAAGAGAAGATTTTTCAAGGTTAAAGAAACTCTGTTGCCAGTGAAGAGATTCAGCTATTAGGTTTTGACAATGGTTTGATTTGGGAAATATTTTTTTCTAATATAGAGTAAATGTGCATTTCTCTCCAACCGCACCCCTGTTCTCAGCCCCTCAGGTGTTCTCTCCAGCCTTAGGGAGCTCTCCATTTTTCTACACTTCTCATGCTGAAGGCCTTGCATTGTAGTCACGCAAACAGAGAAAGGGATTCCCTTAAAAAGTAATCAGCACAGTTTCTTAGTCAACTGCAGAGGTTTATGTTGAGTAAAATGAGGTTCTCATTCCCTCCCAGGTAGCTGAGTGAATTGCATTCCATTGGACAGCTGTGACAAGAGATTATGGGTGAAATCCTGGTTAGTCTCATTGAAGTCAGAGTCTTGCTATTTGACTTCAGTGGGCCGGGATTTCAGCTCAGGAAAGGAAACAGAATTCAGGCCTCCTGCAAAAACCTACAATGCATTAGACTGTGATGTCAATTTGCAATGGTGCTTCCACACAAAAGTTGCAAAAGTTACTGTACCAGCTAGTTATATTGTTTGGTATTCATCCAGGTATTTAAAAAACAAGACAAAATAAAAACAAACAAATACAAAAATCTTTCCCTTCTTTCCACTGTTGTGTTACTAAATTGAATTTTATTGTAAATCAAAAATACCAAAGAGGGCAAGCACACATCCCACTCAATCCATCACACATCCTCTCCCGTTGAACACTCAGTGTTTACACAAAGAAGGATTAAGACACGATCTAAGAAACTCGACTGCACTGCCAATCTAAATTGATTTGCCAAGATTTCCTTTGTACATAAACAGGAAGGATTTTTTGGAGGCACTTGTACTTCATGAAGCACA